AATAAAAAAAAAAAGAAAGAAGCTTAAATTACCAGAAGGAAGTGGATAGAGTTTTTATTTTTCTGAATTGGGCAGAAAAAAGTTTAAATGAGTGCAAAAAGGGGGAATTTGCTGATAAAACTGCTAAATAGTAGCTGAAATAGCAGAAAATGCTGAAAATTGCAGAAATAAGCTGAAAGTAGTTGGACAAAATGTTTAAATTTGCACAAGGAAGCTGAAAGAAGCTGAGCTCGAACAAAATGTGATAGGAGCAGTAAAAGGTTGTAAACATATGTAAAGATTTGAAGGATGTAAAATAAGATCAATTTATTTTCAATGAGGGGGAAAAAATAGCATAAAAGGCTAAATATTTCTAAAAAGCTAAAGTTGCTGCAGCAGTACCCAAAGTCATAACAGGATTGTCCTGAACGTTTTGATATACGATTTGTTGAAATAGCACAAAAATTGTGGAACGAGAAAGATGACAAAAAAAAAAACATACAGAAGAGAAATGGATCACAATAGTGTGAATGCTTTATAAACATTCACACTATTGTGATCATACATATTCTCCATGTTAAAAATAATTAGCTAGTGGCCATATTTGGCCTGCAACTTATTTCATCATGATGACAAAGCACTAAATTATTTAAAAAAGTATGTGATGGTCTAAAGCAAGAGCTTGCTCTAGCCCAGGTCAGAAAGACATGATGATGGAAGTGCCTTAGCCAATCAGACAGCTTGCTCACAGCATGTGATCATATGCAAGCACTCTTAAATTATTGGAGTGTCTTGCTGCAGTTATGGCTTGTTTGCTCAGAAGGAGGATCCAGAGTAAGACTTATGAATAATATACTTTATTTTTTACTAAACTGGTAAGCAGGCTGATGTCGAACCCTAATACTAAACAGCTGTACTTAGAAACTACACTTTTTTTTAAACTGCTTATTAAGTGAAATTTTAGCCTACAGATGTAAAGTTTTAATGTTCACAGTGTCTTTTCAACCCAGAAATGCTCCCTGGTTTTGAGCTGTTTTGGCATGGCAGGGCATAGAAATATCTCCACAGCATGGCAAACATCTTCTAATTACGGCAGCAGAAACTGAAGCAAATACAACAAATACATCATAATTACCAAACAGATGGCGAATCAAAGCCTTATTAAACATTCAAATGAGTCTAATGATGATAAAGTATTTATGCTGAAATTCACCCAAAAAGGTCAAATGATTTGGAGTCACACTGCTTAGATGATTGTGATCTTAGACACTGTGGTTCAATCTCTCCTAGCAAATATTATTATTTTACTTTGTAAATCTATTATTTTGATAACTGAGGCTACATCCTCCTGTTGCAGTTCATCAAAATTCACTTGCATGACGTTTGTGCACGAATATGAACAGAATGTTACCTTGCGTTAGCGTATATGCTAAGATCTTTATTCTTAGTGTTACAGTGTGGTGACGGGTTGAAGAAAGCTGCACAATAATCTCAAGAAAATGCACTTCCTCTGTTTGAAATAGCATGACTCAAATTCTGTCCCTGTGGGTTTTAGTGGATGTCTCTCAAAAAGGTGAGTTCAGTCGGTGACGAGTTTTGTGGAACTTTACATTTGTTCAAATGTCACAATTCAGAACAGATATTTCTTGAAAAGCCCCATGCCTGCAGCACACACGCTCTTATTTTGAAGTTCAGCTCTATAGGTTTGAGCTTGAATGGATTTGTCAGAGTAGAGGTGGGTTCTGAGTCAAGATTAGAGCTCAGCTGATTTGGGTGGAAAGCATGTGACACGGTTGAACTTTTAGAAATCAGAGCTTCTACAGTTTAGAATAAAAAATTACTACAGGAAACACTTGAAAACTACTTATGTAAAATTTGCAGCTTAAGGTCATTAAAACATGGAAGCTAAGAAAAAAAAGACTAGACAAGATTAAATAGTTCACAATATTTCTTTGAGAACAACCCTTGTTAGTCAATATGAACATCTGTTGTAGAAATCTCATGCTTTTTAGAGATTTTTTTTTTTTTTTATTGACAGGTTGCTAATTTAAATGCTACAAAACACAAGTGGCATATTAGAACCTTACTTAAGACTTTTGTCCACTTAGAAGCAAGAACTTGTTCCGGAGGAACTACAACTTATTTAAATATAACTTTTTCAGAGATGCAACGATCCGATAGTCGTATCGTTATCAATAGAGATTTTTTTGATACGGTATCGTGACAATGTGATTGATCCATAAGGACAGGAGCTGATTGTTGTTTATTTTAAATATCTGCCAAACAAGCTAGTGAAGCTATTGTTTTTTCCTCTTAATTCAGCTCCTTTATTATTTATTTTACATTATATTTAGAATTCCTGAACCATTTGAAAGGTTTGTTGAAGTTTATTTTTTCATGTTCGACCAAAGTTGTCAGCCTATTGTTTTGTCAGTTTCACTTTCTTTATTATTATTTATTTTACATTTGATGTTATACTCATAATTGCACTGACTGACCAAATTAAGTTACGTTGGTTTTACATGTTTTACCAAGCTTGTGAAGCTATCTGTTCGTGTGTTTAAGTGCAATGTACTGGTGCAGAGTTTTCAATAAATTTTGTAGGTCAGTACATTTATGTCTGCATTTTAAAAATATATATATTTTAATTTAATTCAGCACTTTTTTTTTTCTGTATCAGATCAGTATCGGATCGGTATAGGCCGACACTAAACCTCAGAAATCGGTACTGTAAGTGAAAAAAGTGGATTGGTGCGTCCCTACTTTATATACTGCAGCACCTGTTTGGCGTCTTGACACTGTTTTTGTGGTCAATACAAACTAATTGCTAAAATATGTGTAACCACAACAAAATGAAGTTTGACATTCTTGTCTATCAGGAATCAGACTTCTGCGAATGTTAAGTTGTATTACAAAGAAAATGTATTTAAAAACGGACTTTTGTCTAATAAAAAGTTCTGCTATTAGCTGTTTTTTTCAAAAGCAGAAGAGAAGAGGACAGGATGAGGTCAGTGGGTAGTGGGCTTCTTGCGCTTCATCAAGCCAGATGATCAGACAAGAGCTGGCCTTCCTAGAGTCTGGTATGCTCTACCCTGTGGAGTGACGTCTATAAACTCACCCTCACTGAGGTGCTGTTTCCATGGCAGACGTTGCCACAGCTATCGTTTAATTACCCCAAACAATAAAACTCAACATCAAGAGCCTCTGTTTAGCTGGGATAAAGAGGAACAAGGCCATCTTAAGTTGTTTCGGCTCCCGCTGCGAGGCTGGCTGGCTGGCTGCTCAAGCGTCGCTTGGCGAGCGCAGCGCCCGAGCCCAGCTGCCAGGCGGCTGCCAAGAGGTTTGTGATTTGAGAGGATCTGAGCGAGCCGGGCATGCCACCTGGGCATAGTCCGTTGCAGTGGGACAGCGTTGGTGTAGGGGGGCTGAGCGGAGCAACAAAGAACACATTTTACAGTAAAATGAAAATGGGCAAGTCAATGTATCTTAGGTCGTCTTGCATAACCGAGTATGTTAGATGAAAACAGGTTTTTAGGGGGATTTCATCTAAGCATAAGAACAAAGAAAACATTTAGCTCAAAAGTTGAAATGCAAAACTAAACTATTGTATTTCCTGTGAAAATACAGTGTGAATGCTTATGGCAGAAGAACTTGCTGAAAAACTGCTGAAATTAGCTAAAAACATGCTGAATTGTAGCTGAATTGAAAGAACAAGAACAAGCCTAAATTAGCAGAAAGCAGAAAGAACACATATTTGCTGAAATAGGTTTAAATAAATAGAAGAGAGCAAAAAAAAAATTAGGAAATTAGCTTAAAAAAAAAGGCTAAAATTAGCAACAAAAAAATTCTAAAAAGTAGCCGAAAAGGGAGAAAGAAGCTAATAAACATAAGAGAAGGAAGTGTAAAGAGTTGAAATGAGAAAAAAAAAAGTGGAATTAGCTGAAAAATCTAAAAATTGCATACAAACAGCTAAATAGTAGTTGAAATAGCAGGAAAAAGTTGAAACTAGCTGAAAAAAGCTGAAAGGAGCATAAAAAGCTGAAATTAGCAGAAGGACGTTAATTGGGCTGAAAGTAGCAGAAATGGGGGAGTGGTGGTGCAGAGGTTAGAAGGTGGGCCTGTGATCGGAAGATCGCCAGTTCACGCCCCGGTACAGACAACATCAACAAAATGTGGGTGGGGTAGGTGAAGCACCCACACTTGCCCCCACCCTCATTCGCCCCACTCTGGGCCCAAGAGCAAGGCCCTTAACCCCCATCTGCTCCCTAAATAGGTCTCTCTTGAAAATGAGTTCTCGTGGCTCAATGAGACTACCTGTATAAATAAAGGCTAAATGAAAAAAAAAAGACAAGAAAATTACCAAGAAAAACTTGATTTTATCTGAAAGCAGCTGAAAATAGCTAAAAATTTAAAAAATGTAGCTGAAAAATAAGCTTAAATTAGCATAAGAAAACAGAAAGAGCATGTTTGCTGAAAGAAGCAGAAATGAGCACAAAAAGGAGAAATAATCAGAAAAAAAGCTGAAATAAGCAAAAATAAATAAAAAGCCAGCTGAAAAGTGGGTAAAAAAAAAAATCAGAAAGAAGCTTACATTACCAGAAGGAAGTGGAGAGAGCACATTTTTGCCGACTTACGCTGAAAAAAAGTTTAAATGAGTGCAAAAAAAAAAGAAAAAAAAATGGAATTAGCTGAAAAATAATAACATTAGTATAAAAAGAGCTAAATAGTAGCTGAAATAGAAGAAAAGGCTGAAACATGCAAAAATAAGCTGAAAGGAGCATAACAAGCAGAAATTAGCAGAAAGAAACTGAAAGGAAGACAAAACGCCTAAAAAAACTCAGCTGAAATTAGCTGAAAAAAGGTTTAAATTTGCACAAAGAAGCTGAAAGATGCTGAACCAGAACAAAATGTGAAAAGAGCAGCAAAAAGTTGTAAACGGATCTAAAGATATGAAGGATGTAAAATGAGCTCAATTAATTTTCTATGAGAAAAAAATGGCAGAAAAGGCTAAATATTTCAAAAAGCTAAAGCTGAACCAATACCAAAAGTCACAGCAGGATTGTCCTGAAAGAGCTGAACGTTTTGATTAATGATTTGTAGAAATTGCTTAAAAACTGCAGAATGAGAGTCGCACCAAAAAATGTACAGAAGAAAAATGGTGTCAACGCTTAATGAGCGTTCATACAACAATCGGATCAATTTCAAATGGATTTGTAAATTTTTTAGAGATGTGGTCTCCTCTTCTTGCTCCTCTCACTTGGTAATTGCAGCACTGCCACATGTGAGCTGTTATTACCTCTGCACAGTCATTAGCTCTGTACTGATTTAAGCTGCAGCTTGCAGGGAACACAATGAAAACCGGCGCTGTCACATTCTCTGTAATAACAGTGACGATCACAGGCAGCAAGTCACCCAGCCCTTCTTGCCAGTCTGCATTCATCATGAGAGGCCAGGCCAAAGACAGGACTGAAACCCCATAATAAAACAAACACCAATCTATCCTGATGGTCCTCTTCTCAGGTAATTAAACCCTTTAGTAAATAACAGGAGTAATTCAATTCTATGTATATGATTAGGAAACTCAGATGGTGTGCACTTACCACCGCCGAGCAACTTCATAACCAGCCACAGCTCATCCTTTACGACAAAGGATGTGTAGTAAGACACAATATTGGGGTGGTGGCACTGGCTCATGGCCTGAATTTCTTTCTGTTGGAGAAAAAAAAATTACATGAAAAGTTAAAAAAAAAAACCCAACAATTATTCAAAACTGCTCTAATATTTGTGCGACAATGGACAAGTTGGTGATCACATGTCTCAGAAGAAACACGCCATTTTTGGATATTTAATGAAGCAGCAAGAAAACATATATGAGCAGTAAATTATGTTTAAATAAAATTGGCAATCAACAGAAAAGTACATTTTCCTAAAAAGGAAAACAAAGAAAATTATTTTATTTTTATTAGACTCATTCCACAGTGTATGAGAAAAGCTAGAGGGGGAAACAAAACCCGTGTCTTCGAAGCTGCTGCAAAGCTTGAAATCTTAATGACGTCAGTAGTAAAAAAGAATTAGGCTAGGTCAATGTAATGCACAGCTATGCAAAAGCAAAAAAAGAAAGAAAAACCATCAGTGCTCAGCTCTTTGTGTAGCTTTCAAGCTTTCTTTCTGTGTGTGGGTTGTGTGTGCTTGGAAACCGGGAGCGCTGAGGTAATGCTGGCACAGATATCACCAAACCCAAAGCCATTTGAGGATAAAGAAGCTTCCTATGAGAAAAGAAATCCAGCCGCCTTTTAAAGGGAAAACCACATAACCACAGAAATGTCTCTTTTGCTTATGTTTTTGAATAGCTGACAAATTAATGAATATGTGGCTGGCTGGCAGCACGGTGGCGCAACTGGTAGAGCTGCTGCCTCTCAGCGAGCAGGTCCCTGGTTCAAACCCCGGTCCAGGGGCCTTTCTGGGTGGAGTTTGCATGTTCTCTCCGTGCATGCGTGGGTTTTCTCCGGGTACTCCGGTTTCCTCCCACAGACCAAAAACATGCATGTTAGGCTGATGGGTAACTCAAAATTGTCCCTAGGTGTGAGTGAGAGAGTGAATGTTTGTTTGTCTCGTTTGTCTCTATGTGGCCCTGTGATGGACTTGCGACCCGTCCAGGGTGTACCCCGCCCCTCGCACAGTGATTGCTGGACATGGGCACCAGCGACCCCCGTGACCCAAAATGGAATAAGCGGGTAAAGAAAATGGATGGATGGATGGATGTGGCTGGCTACAAATTAATGACAATATTTCTATTTGCTGATTTATAAAGGACATAAAAACTGCAGTATATGAAACTGAGGATAAAAATATTAGCGTAATTTAATAAAACAGGTAAATAAAATAGTGGAATGACCCCACAGAAAACTCACAAAAAATATCTGAATCCTCACTAAGAGGAGGCACTGAACATTCACCATCACCTTTTTAAACTGATCCAGGAACCCAACGACATGCGTAACTAGAGAAATTGCATTTCCTGCAAAAATGCAGTGTGAATGCTTATTGCTGAAGAACATGATGAAAAACAGCTGCAATTAGCTGAAAAAACATTCTTAAATGTAGCTGAAATGGAAGAACAAGCCTAAATTAGCAGAAGAAAGCAAAAAGAACAAATATTTGCTGAATTAGTTTTAAATAAGCAGAAATCAGCACAAAAAATATATAATTATCAGAAGCTAAAAAAAAAAAAAAAAGATGAAATTGGCAAAAACAAACAAACAAAAAAAAAATTGCTGAAAAGTTGCTGCAAAGGCAGGAAGAAGCTTAAACTACCCAAAGGAAGTGGAAAGAGCTGAAGAGCTACAAAAATGTGGAATTGGCTGAAAAAGCTAACATTGGCATCAAAAGAGCTAAATAGTAGCAGAAAGAGCAGGAAAACGGAAACTAGCAGATAAAAGCTAAAAGGAGCATAACAAGCTGAAATGGACATAAAGAAGTTAATTAGACAGAAAGTAGCAGAAATTAACATGAAAAACTTGAATGTATCTGAAAACACCTAAAATGAGCTAAAAAGTTAGTTGAAAAGGTAGAACAAGCTTAACTTAGCAGAAGAAAGCAGAAAGAAAATGTTTGCCAAATTAGGCTGAAAGAAGCAGAAATGAGCACAAAAAAAATAAATAAATAAAAATTATCTGAAAAAAGCTGAAATTAGCAAACAAACAGCTGAAAAGTAACGGTAGCTAAACATTCTGAAAGAAGCTTAAATTACCAGAAGCGCAGAGAGCACATTTTTCGGCTGAAAAAGGTTGAAAGGAGTGCAAAAAATATGGAATTAGCTGAAAAAGCTTAAATTAGCATAAAACAGCTATATAGCAGCTGAAGTAGCAGAAAAAGCTGAAACATGCAGAAATAAGCTGCAAGGAGCATAACAAGCTGAAATAAGAAGAAAGAAGTTAGAAGAAGCACAAAAATGTAGTTAGCAGAAAGAATCTGAAAGGAGCACAAAACAGCTGAAAGAAGCTGGAAAGTTTAAATCTGCACAAGGAAGCTGAAAGAAGTTGAAGCAGCTTACATCTAACGATGTAAAATTAGCTCAATTCATGTTCCATGAGAAGAAAGTGGCAGAAAAGGCTAAATATTCCAAAAAGCTAAAGTTGCAACAATACCAAAAGTCATAGCACCCTTTGAACGAGCTGAACGTTTTGACATAGGATTCGCTGAAATAGCTAAAAAATTGTGGAACGAGAAAGATGCAGAAGAACGTACGGAAGAAAAACGGATCACAATGTGAATGCTTCATAAGCATGAATACAAATATTATAGGTGTCAGTGTAATGACTCTATATACGGTAATCCTGATCGGTGCACAAAATGCACATTTTACATCTGTAGCTAAAGGACTTGTTAAAGATTTCAGTCAATAAATGTCCTGGGTAAAACAGCATATAATCCAAGCCAGATATTCCATCAGCATAAATGCTTACTTTACACACTGTGCATTAACAGCAGAGTGACTCAGCCGCAGAGTCATCGATACTGAGCTGTGGCTCTCAGTCTCTGCCATCAAGAAGAAATGCTGAAGCCCTTTGGCATAGGACTTCATATTGCATAAGACATTTGACAAAAGAAGATTAAGAGCATGAACTGAGTCATAATAAGGGTGGATAACAAAACTCTGCATTAAACAAAGTGATTGGACCACAGCGGGTACAGACATGTTTAAACACACAGAGACGTGAAGAGGACCGTTCTGAGAAGTTTCAGGAGAGGAGTTTCAAAGAGTCTTACCCATAATGCACCATCTGAATGCAATCTTTTGATTAAATTTTGAGCAACATAAGTCTTGATCTACTACTCATTTGTCTCGCTCACAGTAAAACCAAAAGCAAACAAAACAAAAAAAACATGCTGCAGCAAAGATTTTGAAGATTATGACATAACTTCAAACCATTTCAACCCTTTCCAAAAGTGTAACCCTTAACAGGACTCTTGTAAAAAGTCAAAGATATCATTCTACATCTTCCCAACGGTCTTTCTTGCAGCTTTTGTCTGATGGGTGGGTGCTGTAATGACTTCTAACACAAGCATTCAGTGCAACTTGTAATTTAATTCATGCAACTTGAAAAGTAGACCTGACACGCCTCTGTCGCTACACTTAATGTATTTTACTAGCGATATTTATTACTCTATTACCCTTACTTTTATTACTCTAATGCAACCCTTTTTGCGCTAAGTGGAAAAGGAGCGGCAATATTTTAGGAGAAATATTATAAAGACAAAATGACACCGCATTCAGGTTTCATTTGAATTTTCCTTTCAGGCCATGTCCGCTAACATTTAAAAGGCACAACTGAGGAGAAGTGTGAAATTGAGAGTTTAATTTAGAGTGAGCAGCAAAAGAGCCCCGTAGACTTTCAAGAGAGGTTCTACTGAAGAGAAAATTCAAAGTTAATGGTTTGTCTCTTCAGCTATGAAAGGTGGGCCTGTGCTGTAACGTGCTGTCCACAATGATACTGGTATAATGTTCTGTATGTGGGAAACTAAGAGTTGTTGTGTGAAAGCTTATGAAGCATTCACACTATTGTGATCCATTTTTCTTCTGTACGTTTTTCGGCATCTTTCTCTTTCCACAATTTTTGTGCTACTTCAACAATTCATATCAAAACGTTCAGCTCTTTCAGGACAATCGTACTATGACTTTTGGTATTGGTGCAACTTTAGCTTTTTGAAGTATTTATTTCTGCCACATTTTTTCCCCTCATAGAAAATGAATTGAGCTCATTTTCCATCCTTCAAACTTTTAGATCTGTTTACAATCATTTACTGCTCCTTTCACATTTTGTTCTGCTTCTTTCAGCTTCCTTGGGCAAATTTAAACTTCTTTCGGCTACTATAAGCCAATTTCAGCTGTTTTGTGCTCCTTTCAGATTCTTTCTGCTAATTTCAGCAAGTTTCAGCTTTTCCTGCTATTTCAGCTACAATACTATTTAGCTGTTTTAATGCTGATTTTAGCTTTTTCAGCTAATTCCACATTGTTTGGACAAACTTCAATTTTTTTCTGCCTAATTCAGCAAAAATGTGCTCTCTACTTCTTTCTGGTAATTTTAACTTGTTCTGCTTTTTTTTTTTTTTTAGCTACTTTTCATCTGATTTTTGCTCATTTCAGCTTTTTCCAGATAATTTCCACTTTTTGTGCTGATTTCTGCTACTTTCAGCCTAATTTGGCAAACATGTTCTTTCGGCTTTCTTCTGCCAATTTAAGCATGTTTGGCCTGATCAGCTAGCTTTTTAGTATTTTCTAGCTAATTTAGGCTGTTTTCAGATAAATCCCAAGTTTTTTGTGGTGATTTCTGCTACTTTCAGCCTAATTTAATTCTTTGTGATAATTTAAGCTTGTTATACTCCTTTCAGCTTAATCATGCTAGTTTCAGCTTTTTCTTAATTTTCAGCTACTATTTAGCAGTTTTTATGCTAATCTTAGCCTTTGCAGCTAATTCCACATTTTTTAGTTCATTTCAGCTCTTTCCACTTCATTCTGGTAGTTTAAGCTTCTTTCTGCCTTTCAGCTACGTTTTAGCCAGTTTTGCTATTTTCATCTTTTTTTAGCCAATTTCCTAATTTTTGTGATAATTTCTACTTATTTAAACCTATTTCCACAAATATGTGTCGTTTCTGCTTTCTTATGCTAATTTAGGCTTGTTCTTCCATTTCAGCTACATTTCAGCATG